GGCGCGGGTGGGCTCGGGGTGGGATCGTACTGGGAGCGACCAGGACCACACTGGGACTGACAGGGAGCATAACTGGTGTGACTGGGAGCATGCTGAGGTCGACTGGGATAAACTGGGAGAGACTGGCAGTGACAGGGATCATACTGGGAGGGACTGGAACTAGAGTGGGGTGACTGGGAGCAACTGGGCCCATGCAGGGGGCAACTTAGATCCTCCCAGGATAGAGTGATATTGTACTGGAAGTGACTGGGATCATCCTGGGAGTTACTGGAACCAGAGAAGTGGTTAATAGGAGCAACTGGAACCACACTGGGAGCAACTGGGATCATAGTGGGAGCAGCTGGGTCCCTGCTGGGCTCATACTGGGATCACACTGGGACTGACAGGGATCATCCTGGGAGTGACTGCAGTAACACTGGCAGTGTGTGAGAGGGACTGCAACCATACTGGAGATGACTGGGATCAAACTGGATTTGTACTGGAAGTGTCTGGAAGTTAGTGGGATCATACTGGGGGGTGACTGGACTCATAGTGGGATCATACTGGGAGTAACTGGGACCGTGCAGGGGGGCAAATGGCATCGTCCGGGCAGTGACTGACAGTGCCTGGGGTCATACTGGACTCAGACTGGGAGTCCCTGAGAGGGAAAGGAACCATCCTGGGGGGCCTGGGAGCAACTGGGGGCAACTGGGAGCACCTTGGGGGGTAGCTGTGAAATGAAGAACTGTGTTAGGAATTGTCAGCCCTAGAATTGCTGTATTTTAGACAAGCTCTCGGGAAGGACAGCGCTACCACAGAACTCGTGGAGTTCGGTGAGCTTGGAAGGTCTCGAGGGAAAGGGCAGAGTTGCCGTTTCTTGTGAAGATCCTTCACAGGCGAGAATTTTGGTAAGAAAACAAGACGGTTCTTGCAGCTGTGAAGAGACTGATAGAAAGTGAGACAGAAGCAGGGGATCCAGAGAAGAAGAGAGCAAGAAAGGTGTTCCCCCCTGGAATTGCCTCCGAGGTCATAAAGCCACCAAGGGTGGCTTTATGACCTCGGAGGCAATTCCAGGGGGGCGTAGGGTGGGTGGAAAACGGGGTGGAACAGGGGAGGTCATGGAGTGCAACCCTCAGCCCTGGCCAGGCCCATCCCCAGGAGTCACAGCCTGTGCCCCAGAGGATCATCCAAGTGCCCCTGGAGCTCTGTCAGCCTTGGGGCTGTGCCCACTGCCCTGGGGAGCCTTTTCAGTGCCCAACCACCCTCTGGGGGAAGAACCCAGAGCAGAGCTCAGTCCTGCCCTTCCTCTGCCCCTCCCGAGGGTCCCCACACGTTTCTGCTGGGCAAAAGGTGCCCCTGAGCAGCCAAAAGGGACTCACCATGAGCGGCTGTGCTGGAAGGGGCTGCTCGGGCCGGTTCCAGACGGTTCTGGGCACGGGCATTTCCAGGGCAACTGCCAGGGCTGTGTGATGTGCGGCCTCTGGGTGCCCTGGGGCCACTGGGACACTGTGGGGCTCCTGGAACTGAGGGGACACTGTGACACTGGGACACTGCAGGGCTCCTGGAACTGAGGGGTCACTGGGACACTGTGACAATGCAGGGCTCCTGGAACCGAGGGGACACTGGGACACTGCAGGAACTGAGGGGACACTGGGACACTGGGACACTGCGGGGTTCCTGGAACCGAGGGCACAGTGGGACACTGCAGGGCTCCTGGAACTGAGGGGACACTGTGACACTGCGGGAACCGAGGGCACACTGTGACACCGTGACATGCGGGGTTCCTGGAACTGAGGGGACACTGTGACACTGTGACACTGCGGGGTTCCTGGAACTGAGGGGACACTGGGACACTGCAGGAACCGAGGGCACATTGGGACACTGCGAGGCTCCTGGAACTGAGGGGACACTGTGACACTGTGGGGCTCCTGGAACCGAGGGCACACTGGGACACTGCGGGGCTCCTGGAACTGAGGGGACACTGTGACACTGTGGGGCTCCTGGAACCGAGGGCACACTGGGACACTGCGGGGCTCCTGGAACTGAGGGGACACTGTGACACCGTGATGTGAGAAATAAATGAAACGGTTTTATTACAAGCAGGGTTTCCATTATTGCCTCATGATGAGGAGTGTTTGTGATCAGGGGTGTTCTGCAGTTGCCTATGGCTGCAGTTCTGTTGCAGCCACGACCTGTTAATAGTTGTGATCATGTTACTGTTGTTTGTTATTGCTGTGTGAAGGCGAACCGGGAAGCCTGTAAGGCAATGAGACCAGCCAGGGCTCATTGCCAAGGGACCATGCGGCCGGGACAGGGAAACAGTCTGATAGGATGGTTAAAACAACCAATGGACTGGAAAAGAGAAGTGTGAGCCTGCCCTGAGAGACACAATCGGGCTCAAGAAAAGGCTATATTGCTTTTTAAGGAAGAAAGAAAGCAGAGCTGAGCATGGGAGGGACAAGGGAACAGTTATGCAAATTGAGAGACCTTAAAAGAACTGCCCCCCCCCATCTCAGGGTGTTCTCAGGCCCTGGCACGAGGCAAACCTGACCGCACCCAGCGTGCGCTGAAAATAAAAGTTCTTTGTTTCGCTTTATTGGGCCGTCTTCGAAATTTT